AGGTTCAGATCTCCCAAAAATACACTTGTGCCACTTATCTTAATATATCAATATCGTTGGGTAATAGCTGTTTATTGAACTTGTAGTATGGGGGAATTCTTACCATGTGTCATAAGAGCTTCACAGTATAAGGGAGGTTCTGTCACTATCCCCATTTTATAGAGATAAAACCGAGATGTAGAGGTCAATAACAAAGAGAGATTTAGGACCATACAGCTGTGAAGTGGCAGAACCAGGCTTAGAACTCCGGCAGGCTGACTGCACAGCACTGTGCCCACTCTTCACCCCATACTGTGCTGCTAAGAGGAGCTAGCTGGATGAAACGCTGGAGATAGACAGGGTGAGTGGGGTAGATGAGGTGGCAGGAGGACCAGGGACGCGGATGTGTGTTCTGAAGTTAACTTTGAGCTCTGGTCGGTAGGAAAGGGAGTGAAAATGTGGAGGCTGACAGAGAGGGATCTGAGAGTTTGGAGATCAAAGAAGAGGTTTAGGTGGAATTGGGTAAAGTAAAGTATGGAAGGCTAAGAGTTGTGATTAGGGAAAAATGGGTTATTGGAGGCATACTTGAGTAATCCCAAGTCCACCATGTAGTCACAGAAATGAATGGCAGAAAGAGAAGTAGGACGTCTTTGAAGAAGTGACAAGGCTGAAGGATAGGTGATCTGGATTAGACCAAAGGATGTTGATTTCGCTGCTTCAGTGGTGTTTTTCCTATTTGCAATATTATTTTATTAATTTTACTATTGCTGCCTAAATAGTTTCTCTTTTAATTGCCTTGGATAATTTAGCCCTTCTCTTTTCATCCTATGTATATTTATAAATCATAATATATTCATATTTGATATTTTAATCTCTCAGTAAATTTGTGTCAGGCTTTTTAACTGTTAATTTTTAGTTTCTTAGGTTCAGCAGTTTCTAGCTTAAATGTGACTAATTCAGTCAACTTGAATTTTTTTTGGGGGGGAGCAGCTGGCTGGTATGGGGATCCAAACCCTTGACCTTGGTGTTATCAGCACCATTCTCTAACCATGGGAGCTAGTCATAGTCATCCAGCCCCAAACTGAATATTACGATACATGGATATGTTTTACTGCCTTTACAATTTAGTCTCTAAAACAATGACATTAAGTTAGACAATGTAGTTATGTTTTGTTTGTTGTTTTTTGGTGGCTGGCCAATGCAGGGATCCCAAACCTTGACCTTGGTGTTACCAACACTGCACTCCAACCATGTGAGGTAACTGGCCAGCCAGTAGTTTTTGTAACGGGGAAGAAATAGAATAGAGCAGATGTTCACTGAACTTTAAAAAAATAAACTTTTTATTTTAGAATAGTTTTACATTTACAGAAAAGTTGCAAGGATGGTACAGAGAGTTCCCATATACCCAACACCCAGTTTCCCCTGTTGTTAGCATCTTACAATAACTAGTATGTTACTGTTGCTATGATTAATGAACAATATTATACATTATTATTAACTAAAGTCCATACTTTACTGAGATTTCCTTCGTTTTTGCCCAGCATCCTTTTTCTGTCCCAGGGTCCTATCCAGGATACCACATTACATTTAATTGTCGTGTCTGCATAGCCTCTTTTGGTTTTGACAGTTTCTCAGATGACCCTTGTCTTTGATGACCTCAACAGTTTTGAGAAGTACTGGTCAGGTGTTTTGTAGAATGTCCTTCAATTTGAGTTTGTCTGATGTTTTTCTTATGATTACAATGGTGTTATGGGGTTGTGGGGGGAAGACCACAGAGGTAAAGTGCCATTCTCATGGCAGTATGTTAGGACTGCATGACTTACCACTGTTGATGTTAACCTTGTTCACCTGGCTGAAGTAGTATTTGTCAGGTTTCTCCATTTTAAAGTTATTTTTTCCACACCCCCCCCAATACTGTTAGCCTTTATTTGTTAAGCCTTTATGTGTTAGTTTGTTAGGGCTGCCATAACAAAATGTCACAGACCAGGCATTTTGCTTCAACAACAGAAATTTATTTTCTCACAGTTCTGGGAATTAGACATTCAAGGTCAAGGTGCCAGTGGGGTTGGCTTCTGGTGAGGCCTCTCTCCTCATCGTACAGTAGGTACTGCTCTCTGTGTTCTCACATAGCCTCATCTCTGTACGCACATGGAGGGGAAAGGGAGAGCTTAGGATGTCTATCTCTTCTTATGAGGACACTGGTCCTATTAGATTGGGGCCCCATCCTTATGACCTTGTTTAATCTTAATTATCTCCTTAAAGAATCTATCTTCAATTATAGTCACATTGCAGGTTTAGGGCTTCAACATAAGAATTTGGGGGGGACACAATTCAGTACATGATACTATATACATAGCTCACACTTGAGGGGTAGGGAGTTATGTTTTACCTCTTTGAGAGTGCAATATGAGGGTACTTCAAAAAAATTGTGGAAAAGTAGAATTAAAAGATAATATGAATGTTTCCATGAACTTTTTAAAGTACCCTTGTAGCAACTTAAAGTAATTGCAATTATTCTGAACAGGAGATTTGTTTCTTCTCCATTTATTCATTCATTCATTTATTTATATATCATGGTGGAATAGATGTTTATTTATTCTTTGGTCAATTTATAATCCAGTATTGCATTATTTATTTCATTGCTCAAATTGTTACAGTTTTTGACCTTGAGAGTTCTTTTGGTTGGCTTCCATGTTCCTTTGACATAAAAGAAACAACATTTTGGTTGTTGATTACTTCCTTACTTTTTGGCATACAAGATACTCTAAGAGGTTCATGTTGCATGTTTTCTGTTCCCAGACCTAGAATCAGCCATTCCTCAAAAAGCCCTGGTTTCTTTTATTGGAGAATGTGTTAGAAACCAAGATGTGGGCACTGGGTGTGCTCACTTCTACTGAGGCATTGTATCTGTGCCCTCCCAGCTGACAGAAAATGGAAATATGTTAACCTGTGTATATGCACATATCTATATTTATTTCTATATGTGTCCATTTTTATCTATATTAAACTAAATATAAGTTCATACTATTTCCAGATCTAATCCAGTATTTCATGGATCAATCTGGCCTCCTCTCCTTGCTTATCTGTAACTTTTTGCTTCAACAGTGAGAAATCTGGTTCCTGCTATTCACCATCAAATTTACTTTATATCCTAATATATAGTCCTGATGTACATGCATTGTAGTTTCAGAATTGTTAATTTGCTTGCCTATGAGACACAACTTTACCAACTAGAGTATAGTGCCTATATACAGTTTCTTTTGTCTTTATAATCTTAGTCTCCAATCATTTTCAAAGTTACTTAGGTAAGAATATTTTTTGACCCCACTCCCTTCAGTGAGGTTATGTCATGCATTTGTAATACATTAGATTATTCTGTCACAGTCTGCATTCCATCTTGGCATTTCCCAGTATCCTAATTGAGTTTTCAAAAATTGCATACATAAGGCTCACTCTTTGTGTAGTTCTATGTGTTTTGACAAATACGTAATGTCATGTATCCACCACTTGTAGTATTACACAGTATGGTTTTACTACCCTAAAATATCCCCTGTATTTTACCTATTCAACTCTCTTCCTGAACCCCTGGCAACCACTTCTTTCTGTCTTTATAGTTTGCTTTTTCCAGATTATGATATAAATGGAAACATATACTATGTAGCTCTTTCAGACTGTCTTCTTTCAGTTAGCACTTAAGATTCATCCATGTCATACATGAATTGATACTTTGTTTCTTTTTATTGCTGAATATGACTCTATTGTGTGTATGTACCACAGTGTATATCAATATTCACCTATTGAAGGACATCTTGGTTGCTTCCAGTTTTGGGCAGTTATGAATAAATCTGGTATAAATGTGCATGCAGGATTTTATGTGGACGTAAATTTTTAAATCAGAAAAATACCTAGACGTGTGCTTGCGGGATTGTATGCTATGAATATGTTTAGCTGTATAACTGCTAAACTGTTTTCTAAAGTGGCTGTACCATTTTGCATTCCCACCAGCAATGAATGAGTGTTCTGCTGCTCACATCATTCTCAGCAATTGTTATTGTCAGCTTTTTGGATTTTAGCCATTTTAATAGATGTGTAGTAGTATCTCGTTTTGATATGCATTTTTTAACTACAAGGAATGTTGAGCATCTTTTCATATGCTTATTTTCCATCTGTATATCTTCTTTGATGAGGTGTTTAAGATCTTTTGCCCATGTTTTTAATTGGGTTGTTTTGTTGTTGAGTTTTGCTCCCAGTGTGTGCTTGTCTTTTTTCATTCTCTTAACAGTGTCTTTCACAGAGCAAGTTTTTAATTTTAGTGAAGTCCAACATCAGTTTTCCTTCCATGGTTTGTGCTTTTGATGATATACCTACAATGCTATCACCAAACCCAAGTTCATGCAGATTTTTTTCCCTGTTTTTTCTTCTGGAAGTTTTATAGTTTTGAATTATACACTTAGGTCTATGATCAGTTTTGAGTTAATTTTGTGTAAAGTGTAAGGTCTCTGCCTAAATACATTTATACGTATACAATTTTGCATTTGTTGAAAAGACTTATTTTTTCTGGCGGTTTACTGGTATGGGTATCCAAACCCTTGACCTAGGTGGTGTAACACTGCACTTTAATGAATGGAGCTAACCAGCCAACCAGAAAAGACATTCTTTCTCCATTGAATTACCTTTATGCTTTTGTGAAAAATCAGTTGAGTATATTGTGTGGGTCTATTTCTGTTCTAGAACACAATGTAGAGCTCCCTCTTCTATTCTATTGATGTATCTCTCTGTTCTTTCACCCATGCCATGCTGTCTTAATTACTGTAGCTTTATGGTAAGTCTTGGAAGTGGGTACTGTAAATCCTCCAACTTTGTTCTTTTTCAGTATTGTTTTGGCTATTCTAGGCCTTTTGCCTCTCCATAGCAATCTTAAGGGGATGTTCACTGAATTTTAAAAACAAAACCTAAAATTAAAATGGTTAAGCCTCAGAGATGCAGAGTAAATGTGGTCTCTCTTTAATTCTTTTTTTTAGGTGGTTTTTTGAAGCTCTGAAGTATCCAAAGTTTTCCAAAGCTAATATCATCAACGGAATACTCATGACGGTGGTGTTCTTCATTGCGCGGATTGCTCCAATACCTCGTTTTTATGGCTTCATATATTCTGTGTATGGAACAGAACCCTTCATAAGGCTCGGATGTTTAATTCAGTCTTCCTGGATCGCTACTTGTGTTGTTTTGGATATGATGAATGTCATGTGGATGATCAAAATTTCAAGAGGGTGCATCAAAGTCTTATCTCTCATCGGACAAGGGGATGCCAAAAATAGCCTTCAGAATGGGAAACTTGATTAAAAGTGTGCTGTTGATAAGCAAACTTCATTACTACCCAGCATTCTGCCCGCTGATAGGATGAATTCTTGGCATGTTCTTGTTCTTTATTAATTATAATTGTTATTCAGGGTTTCCGTGTCCTTTTTTTTTTTAACCTGTAGAAAAGAAAAACTAAAATTTAGTTTTTGTTCCAAGATTTCTTTTCTGCTTTTCTTCTTCATTATAAGCATGGATAAAAGCTTAAAGGTTTAAATAAAAAATATAAATATAGTCGTGAATCTTTTCAGAAATCTTTTAACCTGCATTGGTATTTTTCTCTGTGTAAAGATGACTATGCTAACTTGATGCATTTGATTTTATGTCACCAATTTTGCTAAAAGAATGGGAACTGCTTTTAAATCTATAAATAGCTCTCAACATTTTGTTGTGCTACACTTTTCTTACTATGACTGTCAACACCTATGTAGAATTTAATTTCTAATTTGTTGATATGTTGTTTTTTTCATAAGGCTACTAGAAGTGATATATTTTTCATTTCAGATATGCAATCATCTGTTAATGATGAAGTATTTTACTACTTTGGGAATATTTCATTAGTTTAGTCATGGAAAATACTCATATTTCTTGCATTTTAAGATTTTTCAGATGTCACTTCCTTATTTCTATTTTTAGCACTTCATCAAATTACTTTTATTTTATAGTAAGGCTTAAGACAGATCTTATATACCTCCTTAAAAGATGAATTTCTTCTTCTACAAATGCATGTCGATAGATGACTATTTATGCTAATGGGAGGAATCACTAAGAAAAAAGCTTTAGCACGGCTCTCCCTATCTGCTTCCCTTGCACTTTTTCTATGAAAAATATATTATTTTTACTTGCAAAATATCTCTTGAATTTAGAACCCAACATCATCAGTACCAAAGTGTTATGCAATATGTATTTATCATGCTCTTAAAATAGGCCTCTTCTTAATGAAACCAAAACTACAAAAATGACAGTATTCATATTTTACTCATCATTTACATACATGCTTGCTTAGGCAGCATTTTGAGTGCTTTTGAATTTCTGTATTTCTTAAAGGACAGAAAGAAAATAAGGTAATTTAATCCAAGTATATTGACTATCAAAAGTATTGTCTTATTATGTAAAGATAAATGACTAGTGACTCTGGTTTTGCGTATGTGTGAGGGTTTGCTTTTACTTTGATTCTCACAATCCAAATGTAGAATTATATATTTAGCTATTATCACTTTTATTTATTTTTCTCAAGTACTTGAATTTAGTCATTGTAATTACCTAAGAAAAAAAGAAATTTAATTCACCTAGTGGTAAATACTTGAACTTAATAGAATCTAATCCATTTAGTTTCTTAGCTGAAAGGAGAATGTTTGACTCACTTTCACTGTTCATTTTATGATGATGAACAAAAGCCTGTTAAATATAATCAAGACTTTTTAATTGATTTGATTTGATTTGATTTGGTTGTCCAATGCAGATAGAACCTGATAAGTTTTAGAACATTTAAGGAAGAGAATTGAAATCTCAGTCAATAACTAAATGATAAAATGCGATTGATTGGCTTACACTAGGTACATTCATTTTTGAAATAATTAATGTAAAAAATAGTTATTGGTTTTAAAGCAGCTAATGTTACATTGATAATTTGTTACTAAATTTAGTGCTGTTATATCATAGGCACTTATATATTGGTTGTTTGGAGGGTGTCAGAGCAAATGATTTTATCTTGTTCTTTCTCTTTTGCAAGAAAAGGGGCTTTTTTAAAAAAGGAAAACATTTATATTATGAAACTATTTTGGAAATTCATTCCTTTAGAAAGAAATAAACCTTGAAATAAATATTTTTGACTTTGGATATTTCTATAGTTTTGAACACAGATTTTAAACCCACCATCAATATGAAGGCAATATAAAGCTATAATGTTAGAGAGTCTCCAGGTAGCAGTTTCAACTTTTATAGTTGCTGTTTCATGCTTATACCTTTATTTTTATTTTCACTGATATTACCTTTTATTGGTATAGCTGCTCACTAAATAAGTATGTATATTTAAATATCAAAACCTTGAACTAAAGTTTGTACTACCTTAGTCAGCTATCATTATCTTACACTGGCTGCATGACAGTTAATTTGCCATCCAGATTCAAAATCCAAAAGTAGTTTCTATATATTTCCTCATGAAACAGACATGAAATGGAACTGCCACTACAAATCATCATGCTACTTTAAGTCTGATCTTTACAGGAACTATACTTTGCTATTCTATGATTATATATACCTACCTAAAATACAAATAAAGACAGAACATATCAACTTTAAATGATTAATTTTTCATTTATTAAATGACAACTTTTGCTAGCCATTTGAGATGTTAAGTATTTTGACTACATGGACTAATTAAAAGATTCTATTAGGCATTCTGATATTTACAACTGTATTAAAATATTTATAAAAATAAAAGTAAATTGATGTAAAATTTTAAGCAATTTTATTTTTGTAGAAAAGATTAGTGACAACCTGTAATTATAAAGATGTTATTTGACTATACAGTATTCCAGAAAATAAAAGTTCATGTGAAACTTAAAAATGAATGAAAATCAACTAATACCATGCAATATCACAGATTCTGCATAAAATGTTTTATTTGTGAGAATTTACGAATTATGAGCTATAGTTTATAGAGTTGGCATTCTTCTGTCTAAAATCTTTTTAAGGATTGTTTGCATTTATTTAAAACTCAAATATATATGAGTGCAAAGAAATTAACTCCTGCTTAAATTATGTTTTGATACCCCATAGTAAGTTGAAGTTAAATTTTCATTTCAGCTGTTTAATTTTGTTATTTCATAGACTAGCCCTAAGAAATAGTTATGAATAGTTACCATCCCTAATAATGACTCTGATAAATAATGGATGGCTCAGTACTGTCTTAAAGGTCTAGTTTTAAAGACTGCCTAGTTTATATGTATTTGAATCAAATTCTTTTCTAAATTTTAATAATTTATTTGAGTCAAATCAAATTTTTGCAAAAGTGTCAGTTTTTAGATTGTATACTTTCCCTGAGGTGCATTGGGCATTTGTAGAACAGTTCTTCACTGGTGTGGAGAACCAGCTTCACTGTTAGTTGCACCATTTGTTATGATGCGTTTAGAAACACTTTTCTCATGGAGATATAGAGGGTAAAGTAGTACTGTTGTAATGCACATGCTTCTTCTGTGTCATTTTTATAAAGGTTCCAGAAGACACTATTAAAGTAAATTTTTGAACAAATTTCTGATTCTAGATTGCTCTTAACTCCAAAAATGTAAATATGCATTTGCATTGGCTTAAGTGGTTTAGTCAGTCGTTTGAAATTGAAAAGTCCATGTATTTGTTGACATCATCAGATATACTTCATGGAAGTTTATGTATTTCTATGTATCTTGGATTCCATGAGAAGCAAATTTGTATAATTTTATCAGAAGAGTGGCATGGTGTTTCCCAACAGGTATGAGCCAGGACAGCAGCAAGACCTTTCCTGTGATGAGAGACTCAGCTTTCCGACAAACACACTCAAGCTACTGAAAGTGAACTCTGATGCAAAACTCATGTATAGGACCAATGAAAAGCCAGCAGGACCTGGAGTGGAAGGAGATGCCGAGCCTGCTTTGCCCTTAATAGCCATGACGATGGTCCTACCTTGATCTAGAAGTTTTTTCTCTGAATCCTTCCAGCCCTTCCATTTCTTCTCCCTAATACAAAGATTTCATCAGCACCTCCTTCCTTATGTCAGCACTTTTGTAGGTCAACTTTTGAGACCTCTCCATACATCTGTAAGCTTCCCAGTTTCTTGTGGCAAATGTAAAAGATTTCTAATGGGTTCTCTCACTGAAAAAAAGCATTGCAGTAAGTTTAAGTAGAGATCAGACAAACTATAAATTCTTAAGAGGCTACAGGAAGCCATTTAGCATGTAATACCTGTTTACTACATGAGGCAAAGCTAATAATGTTATGGTTTTATTGAGAAACGTGTAATCTCAAACTGGTTTAGCAATAAGAGCTTTGTAATGTGTCTCAGCTGGGGTTTTATTGTAGGCAAGTAAATTGTCTAAATGTTCTTATACCCCATGACAGGAAGGGGGAGGAACTGAAGTAACTGTGTGTTAGGAAGAGGGGTGCTGGCTTGGGGCAGCATTATAGAGTCCAGCTCTTTCAGAAGGCAAACTTTGCTATAGTAATGTTTCTTTAAAAACAAGCTTACCAGCAAATAGATTACTTGATGTTTTCCAAAGTGCAACACCCAAGGACTTGAGCCCTACCCTTTTCTAGCCCATACTTCAAACAGCCTCTACTTGCTTTGATAAGTCATACCTTTATTGGAAGATATTTTGTATAGCAGTGAAGAGATGAAAGCAACTCCTAAAGATTGGTTTGTTTGCATTGAAAATGTTTACACTTATTCATTCTGAGCAGCATACAGTTTTGATATCAGGCCCTGTACATAAGACCAAAAACAATGAGAAATATTTCTAAATCTCAAAGATTTATAAGTATAATACCTTTGGCTGAAAACTTGTTAAATATCATCTGTATATTTTTTGTTTATATTTTTATGTAATTCTGCAATTAAGTGTGCATTAGGATTATTTGCTACTTGGTTAATGAAGGCTAAAAATATAGCTAGAAGTAAAATGTGTTATATATCTTTCTATTTCTTGTTTGGTTTGTTTCTGGTATGATTATGTCTACTTTTTACTTACGGAATTTTCATGTAGCTAATACTCTAACTTGTAATGAGGTAAGTTATGAGATTTTTTTTTTTAGTAATTAGAATTTGTAATAACATTTCGACAGATTTTATTTGAAAAAGCTACTTGAAAACTGCAGTAAATGTGATAGCTATAGTGATATATATATGTATACAATTTTTTTTCTGAGAATATGTAATATATAATAATTCAAGATTTTTGGAAATCTTTCAAAATATACTTAATATCATTTTGAGAACATGCCTTCTAATTTATTTCCATAAGGCTAAAGAACTATTATTTACAAAATGTAAGACTAGATAATTTATAAATCAGTATTACTAAGACCTATCAGTAATTAAAATAGCAATTTAGTATTCTTATTTTGGTTTCTGATTGTGCTTTATTTGAGGGATAATAAATGTCTTTAGGTATTTCCATTAAAATTTTGAAATGTTTCTGTACTTTATTGTATGTGTGCCATTTTAAAGTATATTCAAGTTCTAAGCAATAATCTGCATGTTGTACAAGGTCAGCATACTTTGTCATGACAATTTTATCTAATTTAAGAGTGATAAAATGAATATCCTATAAATCATCCATGCCCATGAAAACCTTGAGATTTTCTTGTGCTAAAACACTATTATAATGTGGTGCAAAGCTTTGTATTTTGTGAAAGAAATTAATAAAATCACAATTATTTTATGCAAAAGTTTGTCTGCAAGGTGTATGCCTTCATAATGATTAGTAAAATTCCTCATGTCAAATCATCTCTTCCAGTACCTGGATCCTAAAGGTAAGTTTTTTATTCCTCAAAATGCAGAGCTTGTTTACCTCCTTCCTTCCCTTTTTCCCTCTGAGATCCCAGCCTTGTAGCAAACAAGCCAGAGAGGTGCAAAGGTTTTAATCATGCTTGTTAATGGAAGGAGTGGTACTATCTAATCAGTAGGTGCTTTGAGATTAAGTAAAACTTTGGCAGTTATGTTTTTAATCTTCCCTTTGTCCCTTAAGTCTCTTATGTGGTCTCTACTGGTTTGTTTTTGGGTTTTTTTTGTTTTTTTTTTGGCCAAATATCTTGGCTAGAATTCCTATCTCCTTATATTGCCTGTGGTCTTAATCTTGCATGGTGGTCTGAGAATATCCAGTAGATCAGGAAGCAGAGCACTAATTGAATAGAATACTGAAGTGGTTTGGCCTTTGGAAAGTATCATGACTCATGCTTCAGAACATGCCTAAAATGTTGTGTCAAGACTGGCAAAGAAACAGCTGAATTTCAAAATGAAAATAGCAATCACAGCTGTCAGTGAAGATGGGCCACAGGTGGAATTACAAGAATTCAGAATCACTCAAAGCAAGTGTAAATGGGTCTCTCTCCCCCACCTCAGGCTGTCTTAAACATGATCCACCCTTTATTCTCCTATTCTCAAGTCTTTACCAAAGTCTACTTTTGATGGTCCTTAAGCATGCACAAAAGAAGTGCTTTGGCAACTTTGTAACTTTTTCCCATGCTAGTAACATAATCTGACAGATGTTCCTGGATTCTCCTCCCCCCCACACCCCCACAATTGGACTCTTCATTTAAGGACTGTGCCCACCACCCTCTGCTTGAGTAGCCCTGCCCATTGTCATTTATGGCACAGTGCTCCTAGAGCCTCCCTGCCGTTACCAAATAGTCCCTTCCTCTTTTCATCTACCTTCAGCTAAATTCAGTTACCACATCTAGTCTTATCATCTCACCAGATCGTTGATTATACTAGCAGAAATCAAAAGAGACTCAGAGACAGAAATGAGAATAGGAACGATGGGCTGCATTTCTACTGAGGATAAAGATCAAGGATAGATAAAAATTTGGAAAGAATGACACAGAAGGAAGGAAGAAAGGTCTTCAGAGAATAAGAAAAAAATGCTGTGTATATATACCTTGCATTTTGGAGGCCAGAAACTTACCAAGAAAAATGAATATCATAAAATGTCTATATGTGGTACTGGAGAATAAGAAATTTTATGCCTTTTCTATATTAAGCTACAATGTGTACATATTATATTTGCTTCTCTGTATGTAGGTGTGTGTGTACATATACATAGATACATACATATAAACATTAATTGTCCTGTACATATAGCATTAGTGATCCCAGTGGGCTGCCTGAGCTTGTGAGGGCCCAACTCCTGATTTGTTGTAGTTATCAAAAGTCAAACTATGGCCAACAATTAAGCTTCCTGGAATGATCTATGATGCCAGGCAGGCTCACCATGAGAGAGGTTTTCGAAGGCGAAATGAGCAGTTTTAAAATATACTGTGTTTTTGACAGAAAGGATGTATGAATGAATGTGGCACAGAGGATGGGGCTTTGTGCTGTAAACTGGAAAAGAACAATGAGGGAAGAGTAAGCCTATGGTAACCATGAAGAAGTGTCTTAATCTCTCGGAATCTTAGCTTTGTTTCTCTAACATTCCTTCCAAATCTCCCATCCTATTAGCAGGAGCTTTAGTTTGGAACAAGGCAATTAGGAAGGAACAAACATAGCTATGAAGGCTTAGTAAGATGGTTTAAATGACATTTGAGGGAGAGTCTCATTGTCAAATTAGATCAATGAGTACAGACTTAGGATAAGTGACAGAGAAACTGGCTAAGGAACTGCAAAGAGGTTGAACCTGATGGTTGGCCTGAGACAAAGAAGATGAGTAAAAGGGCCAAAAAGGAGACAGGTGCCACTGGGTTGAGATGTCAGAATGTGGGGAGCCACAGACTTGTGGGAGGTTGGCAAGCAAGCTGGTGGCAGCTCTTAAGGGGACCCTGCATGAGAGGAAAAAAGAGAAGTCAGGGTCTGAGGCATTTTCCATGAATGAGGAAAGAGCAGGTGAGCAGTTAGAAGAGCAGGGTGTAGCCTGTGACAGACTTAACATAACGGCAATGTTGTGCAGAAATCAATCTGGGAGAAAGAAAAGGCTGTCTCAAAGGGCCACACTGTTGTGGTTTTGATCGCTTTTCTGGTTTCTGACCCAGTGTCTTGACTTGGCCCCTCATATCTGTATTCCAGGTTCCTGACTGGTCACTGACCCGTGGTTTCCTCACAACCCTTTCAGGTACCCCACCGTGTCCCCATGGCTCATTGCTCCCCATTCTGTCAGCCCCACCTTGTCAAGTTCAGAGAGCTTAAGAAAGGCCTAGAGATGGTGGTAAGAGGCCCAAAGAACAAGGCCCTTCTATGGGGTCTCAGGCTACTGTGGATGGGGACACCGCAGCCTTGCAGTGGGATTGGCTCCCTAGGAGGGGTGGTCTTCGGGTGGTGAGAGAGCAGAAGGAGCTGTGTCTCCTGGAGCAAGGGTGGAGGCTGCAGTGACCATGTCTGGTTTCCAGTTTTGGTTTATGAATTGTTGAGAGGTGAAATGGAGTGGCACTTTTAAAACATTCCCTTGGACTACCATACAGTCTCTGATTTGGTCTCTCTGACTCCAGACTCTCCCCCATCCATCACATGCTGCTGACCGAGTCATTGATTTGGAACACATCCTTAATCTTTTGTCAGAGTCTTGCTCAAAACGTCCAGTACTCCACTCCCAAGTCTCAATTCCTTTAACAGAATTGAAGGTTCTTGATGATATACTCCTACCCTATCCGACCTCACCATCCACCCAAAAGTTCTGCCAGGAGGGGCCCCTGTCTGCCACATGCTCACACAGCTTGAGGCACCAGCATGTGCTGGGCCTCTAGCCTTGGAGGCCCTTTCCTCTCCTACTGATCTGTATCTGACTCATCCTCAAGACTACCTATTAAGGGAATTGGTTCTTTTTTTTCCCACTAAAAACAAAATAAAAATAAACGTTTAGGTAGAGTTGAGAGGAATAAGCTCATTAAATTATTTTAACATTTATTGAGCACTTGCTAGATTGTCAAGTGAGTTCCTGGAACAACCAGGAATAAATAAATTCATTCTTGATTAACAGCCCGGATCTTAGAACGTTCTGTCCTGAGTAAGCTTCTATGGCCACAGCTGAACTGCTATATTTTCTCTCAGCCTAGAGGTCAAAGAAATTCGTTCACACCCCACCTCCTCCCCTGCTGCCCCCACCTCCTCACCCCCAACTGGGGCGAGTAGTGGAGCACAACCTCTTCAGGCTCCAGCACAGACTCCAATATGTTGAATAACATGGTGGAAAGCCTTTCATCTGGGAGTCTAGAAACTGGATTCTGGCTCTGGCTCTACTACCTACTAGTAACCATTTTAAGCAAGTACTTTCACCTTGCTGGTGTTTGTTTTATCATCTGTAAAGAGACGAGTTGAACTGGGTGAACTGAAGGCCTTTTTTTTTTTTTCAAATTCCATCATTCTATGATTATGGTAATTAGAATCAAGGTTAGGGTATATCCCAAAGTATGGCAGGCTATGTGCGTAGTTCCTGCAGACTGCAATTCCGAAATATTGGTTTCGCTTGTGTAAGGTTTTGGAGGCGACCTAAGTTCTAATTTTGATTGTGACTATATGCCCTTGATTGAGGCCACTTGTTTGTGACTCCATCTGCCTCCTTGCAAAAGGAGACAGTATCACTTGCAATCAATAAACCGAGCCAAAAAGCTGAGTGTAATATCTGCTGAATGCTTCAACGCTCTTAGGGGAAAGAGATAAAGTTTTAATGATGTACTTTCCCACTATTCTTGTAGCCAAGTTGTTTTTTTTTTTTTTTTTTTTTTTTTAATATTCTTCCTAGTGTTAGACTTTGAAAGATGTAAACATCTTGATCATGGTATCCAAATATGGAACCCATTTTCTTTGTTACCCACAATAAAATATAATCATCAAAAAGGAAAATAAATGACTAGTGAAAACATAAACAGTAAGTTATTTGTTCCTTTCTCACCAAAACAAAAAAACCTAAATCCTCCAGTTATGTTGAGAAGCCATTCTATCATTAATAGGTCAGTTACCTTGGTTGACTCAGTATTGGGTAATCAGGACTTTCCTTAAGATTTCTGTGTTCTTAGTGACCCTAAACAGAGGCTGCTGGGGTTATTTTGTGGACTATGTGGGGAGTCAAGGCCAGGATGAATTGGGATGGGGGAATTATTATGACAATGTTTATTGTCTGTGACTTGGTTGGGTGGTACTCTTATTTGTCTCCTGCAACTTGAAATTATCTATAATAGATCCATTCCAGATTTTTACAATCAGTAGATGTACTCTGTGAGACACTACATCATGAAGGAAAGTAATGTAAGAAGTAAATCTGCATTGTTCTAAGGAAAAATGTGGATGATTCCTTAGCATTGCCATGAGCAAAAATAAATAGTAATTAGAATTTATGTTCTAAAGGATGGAATGAGAAAATAGATGTGCCAGGATGTTAATTTTTTCTTTAAAAATGACTACTCTAAAACAAAAAATTTTAAAACTTTGGACCATTATTTTTTAAAAGGGATCTGAGCTGTTTATTTAAAACGTGAAGCCATAAGAAGTCCACACTCTATTATCTATCCCTTTCATCACTTTCTTTTTTTTTTTTTTTTTTTTTTTTTTTTTTTTTTTTTTTTTTTTTTTTTTTTTTTAAAA